ATGCAATCCAAAGAACAGAGGGGGATAAATGAAGAATAGGTCACTTCACATAAATGTGGGACACCATGAAGTGCCAACATACACGTATACGGTGGAAGTACTGGAAGCAGGAGAGAGCAGCTAATATTGAGACACAAACATGGCTGTCATCGGGTGCTCAGGCCTGGGTCTGCTCCCCAGCCTGCCTGCCTCCGGCTGTGCTCCCATCTCCTGCCGTGACGCCTCCTACTGCCCCACCGTGACTCCTCCTTGTTCCCACACTTTTACTGATGCTGTTCTTGCCTCTACAAGTGCCCTTTCTCTTTATACCCCCTGGTGAAGATAGCTTTGTGGTTTAGCAAGGAAAAAAAAAACCTACATGTGATGTCCACTACAAATTTTAATAATCATCTTGAAAGTTAATCACAGTCTGTACCTAACCACTGTTGGCCTAACAATTCTCACACAATCAAGACAACAAGACTTACAGAAACTGCAGCTTATTTGCTTCCTCGGATCACAGTCGTTGGGTGCTAAAGATTCCAACACAGAGGCTAAGATAAGCTATGAAGCATTTTAATAAACAGCTTTTTCTATTCTGTCTGAAAAGGTTCTTGATGAGTATGTATCTACTGACTCATGTGTGTGTCTGTGACCATAATACAGACTGACAAGTGTTCAGTTCAGTTGCTGCTTTTTCTTTGACAAGAGTGAAGCTCAAATGACACCTCTGCAGTTTCTGTCCTCACTTGCTAAGGCATGAGTGACTGCTTCCTACCGCATTCCTTGCAAGGCACGAGAGAAACCTCTAACTGTAGTTCTACTTACTGCTACATTCAACTATTTCTTGGAGCAGCTAATTTTTATTTCTAGCGTGTTCTCTTGCACAAAGTACTGTTCTTGTCCTTTACAAAGATCTAAAAAGGAAGGACAGGAGGAGGAAGGAAATTGGATGTAGCATGCTTTGCAAAGCACACTGTTCCTGATACTTTATTTAATAAGCATTCTTTTTTTTTTTTAAGATTTGTTTTTATTATTTTTTTATTGGAAAGGTGGATATACAGAGAGGAGAGACAGAGAGGAAGATCTTCCGTCCGATGATTCACTCCCCAAATGAGCGCAACGGGTCGATACTATGCCGATCCGAAGCCAGGAGCCTCTTCCGGGTCTCCCACGCGGGTGCAGGTTCCCAAAGCTTTGGGCCGTCCTCTACTGCTTTCCTGGGCCACAGGCAGGGAGCTGGAAGGGAAGCGGGGCTGCCGGGATTAGAACCGGCGCCCATATGGGATCTCGGGCGTGCAAGGCGAGGACCTTTAACCACTTGCGCCACCGCGCCGGGCCCATAATAAGCATTCTTAATGAACATTTTCTGTTTTCTTAGGAAAAGTGACAGCCCAAACATACACACATATGACAAATACTACATCATAAGCAGAAATCATTAAGATGTAAAAATCCATTGCTTAACTAGGTAAAAGCAGTATATGCTTATGTCTCATTTCTTCCCCAAGAGTCCAGCTACTTTTTTTTTTTTTAACTGAATAGCTTAAAAACCACTACCGAGGCAGAGGAAAAATTTCAAGTGATTGAAATGTCTGCGTCTGTGATCTGACACTCAGAGTGAAAGCTCAAGGGAAGCACTCCTTGAGAGCAGACTGGTGTCTCCAAGCAGCGCCGGCTCAAGGGAAATGATGGTTCACAGTCTCCAGAGGCACAGGGGGCAGAGTGGCCTTGAGAGAATGCAGTGTACAGCTCGTCCTCCTCACCAGCCCTGGGGTCCTTAAGCTTGTGCTGCTCATTTGCTCATCACCTTGTGAGTGCTCCAGGCGGTGTAACATTTGGCTTCCTGGCTGCATCACCTCTCAGTGCTAGAAAGGCTATGTTCCCTAATGCCTGTGCAGTATCGAGTCTCCTTTATGTGCTGTGGCCATGCCTCCCATACATAGGTCTCTTTCTCCAGCACCTGATTGGACACACAGAGGTCTGAAATGTTATGTCTCCATCTGAGAGATGAAATTCAATGTAAACAAGCAGCTTGAGATGCCAGCATCCCTTATGAGCACCAGTGTGAGTTTTGGCTGTTCCAGTTCAGATTCAGATTCGGCTTCCTTTTAATGGCCTGGGAAAACCAGCGAGAATAGTACAAGTGTTTAGGCTCCTGTCACTCATGTGAGCGATCCAGATTGAACTCCTAGCTTATGCCTGGCCAGGCCATTGCAGCCATATTTTTTCAGCCAATATAGACTATATTAAATGTTTTTGTGGTGTTCTAAGTTTACTTGATTTTTTTTCTTGATCAATGATATTCAGTACTTTTCTGATGCAATCGGTGGCCATTTGTATATACTCTCTTGGGAAATAGCACATTCAAAACTTACTGAAAAATTGTATTATTCATTTGAGAGTTTTTTCCCAATGTATTCTGAATACATGTTCTTTGTTAGATATTTTCTGGGTTTTGCCTCTCACTTTCATTTTCTTTCTTTTAGAAAACAGGAAATTATAATTTGTTATATTTCATTATGCTTGTTTTTATTTGTATGTGCCACATTCCTTACCTTACAGGGAATTGCCTCCTGCCTTTGAGAGGCAGCTGGCACAGGAGGGGAATCTCTGATATTACTTTTTTCCTCCAAGCTTAGCACCAACTTGAGAACTGGGTCTATGCTTCTTATGGAGTAGCATGCCTAGCAAGCAGCAGGTGCTCAATAACTATTGCCTGCACACCTCAAATATATCCCGAAAATTGGAAGAGCCAAGTAAACATCATCAGCTCATTGGCTCACCTGTCATTTTCTCTTCCTGAAAACCATGAATTCCCCACTTATCTCATAGGCTTGTGTTCACAGCAAAAATTTTTGAGGTGAAAATGGAGCTCTGCTTATCCCTTACATGTACATCAATAAAAATCTCAAAAAGACATACGATATCTTGGGGCTTACATTGCAGTGCACCTGGGTAAGCTTGTTTCCTGAAGCATCATTTCCCACATAAGTACCAACACCACATCCCAGACAGATACCCATTTGAATCCCAGCTGATGTACTTCTGATTCAGCTGCCTGCTAACACACTCAGAAAAGCAGTGGGGGATGGCCAAATTGCTTGGGTCCTTGAATCTATATGAGAGACCCAGATGCAGTTCTGGGATACTGGCTTTGACCCTGTGGGGAAGTGAATCAGAGGATATGAGATTTCTCACCCTTAATCTCCCACTCTGTGTTTCAAATTAATCTTTAAAAACAAAACAAAGATGTATGCTTTCCAACTTAGGCTGGCTTCACGTAGTCTTTTTGACTTTACGAAGGTGCAAGAGCAGCATGTGTTCATCAGGAACCAGACTTCAAATTTTGAATGTCCTGGATAGTATTTTAAAATAAAAAAAAAAACCCTCTGTGATGCTAGGTACCCAGCAAGTTGCAACTCCCAGTTGGCCAGCCAGTCAGCAAGACATACATTCCAGGCTCTCCCCAGTGTGCTGTGTCACCGTGTGAGGATGTTCAACACAGGCATTAAATCCGCTTTTTTTTAATGTTTTCAACTTGTGATGGAGTTATGAAGATGTTCACTCCGTCCTAGGTTGAGGGATACATCCAAGGTTGCGTTACTGTTGTTACTCCATGAATCCTAAGTTCATTTGAAAAGCAGTAGATGTAATTCTTAATCACTTAGATGCTCCTCTTGAAGTGCAGGAACATGTCAAACAACAATACAAAGTCAAATGGATAGCTAGACTGTGTAAGGGCTTATTCCTTCCCTTAAGTGTGTTACCAGGTTTCTATTCCAGTGAGGTGCATTCATATCTGAAATCATGTGGACCTTCATAAAAATGACAATGCCATCATAAAATCTGGTCAAGAAATTCATTCTTCATGAATTCCACAGAGAACTCCAGCTTGATAACGGGAGGTAACAGAAGCTTAGTATTCCGACAGGAAGGTGAAGTTAAGATTTTTTTTTAAAGCATCAGCAGTGTAGGAGAGTGATGAGCTGAGGAAGTGAAGTGCAACTCTCTCTGTAGGAAACCAGAGAGAGGAGAAGCCCCTGCTCTGCAGACAATGAGACACAATCAAATGACTTTGAGCATGTTACAAAGTAAGGCTCTGATTGTGACGGCCTTTCTCTACAGCAACAATCTCACCGGCGACCTTCCTGAACTGCTCTCTCAGAGCGGCATGACTGCTGCTCACCCTGGAATACTTAAAGAGCCAGAGGCAATCAGGCTATTCCGATACCCAAGGTAATTAGACAAATATGCACAATGAGCACTGAAAATAGAGTCATGTGTATAAACGGGCAGTGGTGTTCCATTTCCAAATACGAAAAGTATGGAGCTCGGACACTGAATTTCTAAGGATTTTCTTACAGATTTGTTACACATCCGTTATCCAGCGTGCAACCTCTGCTTTTCAAAGAGGGTCATAAAAGGATCCAAACTTCTCTTTTCAGTCAACGCTCTCTGGTGGCACAGTGGTGTGAGAACCTTTCTCAGATCGCTGAGATTCCTTTAGCAGAATGATGTGACACTACCTCTCGGACAGGGGTACAGAAGAAGCCCAGCACCCTATAGACGGTGGAAAAGGACAAGTGGCTGGTGGCTTGTCACAAGCCTGCAATCCTGGAAGCAGCTGCCCAGACACCTCCTGAACCATGATCCACCCTTTGTTGCCCTAAATCACATCTGAATGAATATTGCCCATATTCTGAAACATAATACAAAACAGATACGGAATTCTTCTCCCATATGATTCTGGTCACGATCGAAAGGCAGTGAACAGGAAATTAGAATTCCATTTGAAAAAAAAAAAAGAGCTAAGCTGAAAGTAGAAACCAGGTCCTATTCACCTATAATATACCATGGATCTAGAGCGAAGCCAGGTTGGGTGACGAGTAACGGCTGACGTCAACGGGAGACCTTAAAGGAGAACAGGAAGAGCTGCAGCACTACCAATGCTGAACAGCTACACATGAGAAATTGAAGAAGCAAACTCGGTAACAATTTCTCCTCGACTAGTCTAGCTATTGATCAAAGAGTTTATTCACAGAGTTTTTCAAATACAAACAAAATAGCACTTTAAAAATTTTGCTTTACAAAATCAGCATTGAAATAAATGGGGGTACAGCACAGTACAATAATGAACAAAAGAAAATAAGATCAAGTGAGTGAAAGATGTCTTTCTTTACTCACATATCTTCAACTGAATTCTCTCCCACAGTGGAGAGAATGTTGCCTCTTTGCCTCCTAAGAATCTCATAGCAGAAGATACTCAGAAATATTGCATACCTTTGAATAATATTGAAATATGAAGGCTTAACTCTAAATGTCTACATAAACACTGAAAATGTGTTGAGAGTGAAAAGAATGTATGCAGGTGAGACAAAATGCTGATAGAGTGGCTTACTGGTCCATTTATTAGGTTGAATGTATGTTTTATAAAGTGATAATACTGTACTTTAAATGCATATCAAAAAGAAAACAGAGGAGTAATGCACTATTGAACCTCGTATACAGTCTGTGTAACGATCTCCATCCACAGTTGTGCCTGGGTGGGTGTGGGTACAGAGTGTCTGCATGTGCTCATGTGCTTTTGGGAGTGTCATCACCGGCAGGAATGGCTGTGGGGTACCCTGCTTTTCAACACAACACTGTTTATACTAGCCCTTGTGATTTGGGGAGTCCTTGGCATTGTTTAAAAACTATCAAAACAAAAGCAGAACCCTCTCTGCATATACACTTTTGTGTTGAGTTGTGTATTTCTGTATTATACAATGTTAATTCTCTCCAGAATAGAAACACCCAGTGCCTGGCAATATTTTCACCCTTTGGTCCATCTCCCCCATCACTCTATACTTTTTCAGATTTTTACAACTCTCCCCAATCCTTCATTGCAGATAGCCCCTGATTCCATCAGGTGTCATGTCATTAGCATTGCATTGGACTAGAATCATCATTCCACCTTTAGAAAGTAGCTGGATGCTTCAGCCCCTTCCAGCCCCTTTGGCCCATCTTCTCCTCTGTTCCTGATGGTTCCTTCTCAGTAGGGGTAGTGCTTCTGTTTCTTGCCAGAGAAGCAAGCCAGCCATGTGCAGAGCAGCATAGAGGCCGCAGCACCTGCTCCCGTGCAGTAGTAAGCCCATCCGAGTTCACACTTGCCTAGGGATAAAAAAAAAGAGGAGAGAAATGCAGGCATAGGTGAGGATGACTTACAGTAGGATTTATTATTTCTTGCAGTGTGTGTGTTCTGAGATACCCGTTAGGCATAGACTGTCCTAACTCAAATGGCACGGGTAACTATGCTGTAAGTTATCTTGAAGGTAAAGTGGGCATAACTGGTTTGTGCATTTCAGAAGGCTCTCAAGCTCTGTGCTTCATGTCACCTGAGAGGAGAGGAACCTGTTCGCTTTCACCAATGTCCAGTACCCTGGCTGAAGCAAAGGAGCACTGTGGCCTCCAGGAAAGGAGAGAAGAAAGGGTTAACTCTAACTTAAATCACACAAACTCATGTGCATAAGAAGGCAGTTCATCTGGGGGAAAAACATTAAGGCAGAGATGGAGTCCTTCTGCACAAGAGCCACTCTGAGGAGCGGGCTTATTGGGAGGGTAATGTGAACACAAATATTGCTGTTACTGAAGAGTCATCAAATGGATCACACTCTACCACAGGAACTGCAGGACCCACACGATCAAACTTGCTTTGGGGTCAACACTCTCCTTCAAGTTCAGGTGTAATTTAAGTAAGAACATAGTGTTGGATACTGCATTCTCAGAGTTCAAGTCATACTAATAACACACACTTTTGTAGAAATATAATCAGCAGACTTCATTTTCAGCCATGGTCTTGGTCAATGATTTTTCCAATATGGTGACTGAAGCACAGTTCTCAAGGAAGTCAGGATTTAGAGGGTTTGATCATTTCCCCCAAATTATATGTTTACCATTAGTAATGAACTGAGCCAGGATTCAAGCCTGGTTTCTGGATCCTAAGAAGTCACTGACCCCATGACCTATCTGGATTCATAGAATGTGTGTCTGCCTCATTTGCCAAGCTAGTTCTTGTCATATTCACAGTACAGAAGGCTTCCACGTCTTCTTCTAACTCCAGTCTGTCCTTTTCATAGCATGCTTTACTATCACATCAGACAATGTTCCAGCTGCAACCACTGCCTCCATTGCTTTTCTTCTTGTTCATATATCATGTTACACAAAAACACAGACACGAAGACACTTGGATTTCATAGCCACTTAAGTTATATAGTGAAAATACTACTACTTTTTCACATGTCAACCACTTTTATTGTGTTCATTTGTGAAGAATTTTTAATAACTCCCTGAGGGGGAAAAACAAAACAGTGAGCTGAGACAAAGTTCAATGAATCACCTTCGGTCACTAACAGCAACATGAGTTCAACAGCTGCCACATCTTGAAAGTAGGCTGGGACATTATCATTGCACGTGGGTGGCAAGTAGTGCTGCATCATTCTCAACTTAGGTTTTAATCCTTGATTTCTCTCTTTCCACCTCCAATAATAAAGATAAGAAAAACAGCAAATACATACCAATTATGCTTGTTTAAAGCAGTGGTTTTAATCTCCCCCAAAACTGAATGTGGTAGGCAACTGAATGTCATCCCTATCTTTCTGGTAAGAAAACTGGGCCAAGAAACATTCAATAATCTGCCCAAGTAGTGAGTTTTTTGCCAGTTTTACATCTATGCTGTATCCTGCCCCTTCTGAAATACAGCAGCACCCCTAGACAGGCTGTGCTCACTGTTTTTCTGTTCTGCTTCTACTAATGTCATCACCAGCATTTAAAGCAGTCAACTAACTTTTTAAATGCAAACCAGGTCAAACCATGTACCTACTGAAAACCCTTTAGCGAGTTCTCAAAGATGCATCTGTTGCCTGTGGTCCAGGAAGCCTTAAATGAGCTGGCGTCTGCTCACCACTCTGGTCTCATCATTACCCTGGCCCTTGTCTTCCCCCCTTCCTCCCACTCCGAGCCAGCCACCTTTTCTGGAGCATACCAGACTTGCTACTGGAATGAGACACATACTTCCTACCCAGAAAACTATCCCAGCTGATGGGAGAATTGACTCCTTCCCACATACCCAATACTGACCACCCAACCCCTGCCAAACCTGCCTGGTCAGGTTCCCTCTCCATACTTGATTCCCTTCATTGAGCTTTCCATTGTTTGTAATATTGTGTTTAATTTCCATCTCTACTGGTGGGAAGAAAACCACAGAAAGGTGAGACCTTCTGTATCCCCTCTCCCCTTGTGTGCCACCATGATATGTATGGCCTGAGCCACACAAGTCACCCAATAAATAACTGATGAAACAAAATCATGACAAATGAAAATCAGAAAGAAAAGAGAAAGCAGAGGCAGAGAGCCATTCCTGAACACCAGATTATATTTGGGTTTTATTTTAAGAGAAACTCTAATTCTATTTTGGCATTAAAGTTTTGGGAAGAGTTTCCAAGCTATGCATTTCCAACCTCACATAGTGCATTAAGTCTAGCAGAATGATAGATGCTAAAAGGTCCTATCTGCATGCTAGGGTAGGTCTCCTTGGCACAATGACCTCCAGTTATCCTGACAGATGGGATAAGCCTTTTGCAAGGGTGGCAGAGTCCCCCTTCATGGATTAGATTTGCTGACAACAGAAGCTAATGTGGCTGTGAGTCCTGGGAATAATCTCCACTTCAAATTGTTCTTTAGGTAAGTTAAATAAATCCAGGAAGGAGGACTAATAGATAGATAAGAGGTAGCCTGTGTTTTACAATTTTTTAAAAGAGTCAGCAAAATTTGTGGTCCATCTATTCTGTGCAGGTCTCATAATGTAGAATATAATCAATTGCTCATTATTAACAAGGTATTGACCTACATACAGCTGCATGACCTAACATGAAAAGCAGAGTATATAATTCTTTATTAATTATTGGGCACTCAGAAAAAGTACTTCGTGAGGTTAGCTAGCTATTTCAGAAAAGTGTGGGGCACAGACCACATATATTCACAAAGATGGAAGAAAGAGACTATTAAAAGGCTTACTATCAGAGGGCCAAGGTGAGAGGGAAGATTTTTTATCTGAAGAGAAATCAATGACATACCAGAAGTTTAAACTTCAAGGGCTCTTTACTGGCAAGGCATCTGTAGCCAATGTCGCCACCTGATCCCCCTGGACCTCTCTGCTGGACCCGGGATCTCTCTCCAGTTTCTGTCTGGGCTTTGCTCCTCACAGTAAGCTGAAATGTCTCATGGTAGGAGAATACATTTGAGATGTAACAATACATGGCAAATGTATGGGAATGATGCATATGTTACACGGTTAATGTCCAGCAACTGGTTAAGGACTAAACTAGGCAAAATGGTTGGTTAAAAGTGTGATTTAAAAGACAAATATTTCTTTTAGACATAAGTATTTTAATTTACTAAGAAATTCATAGCATTTACCATCTTTAAATCAAAATTGATGTCATAAATTTTTCCAAGGTTTTAATTTATTATTATTAATAACCTTGAAAAATACACAGAAGTGTGCTTGCACACACACACACACACACAAATACACATCTTTCAAGAAATAAGAAATTGTTGAGATAAATCTCATAAGATCAGGATGTGCCAATAGGATTTAGGCATTTCTAAAGACATGCTAAATCATCTAATTTCTGATTCCTGATTCTTCCTTTCTCCTTCCGTGCCTGCCCCTAACCTGCCTCCCTCCCTTCACTCTCCCCCTTCTTTCATCACTCCCTATGTCTTTAAACTCACTGGTTGAATAAATATTTATTAAATGCCTATTCCAACTAGAAATGAATGACTGCTAGAGACCTGCTTGGGAATTAGCCAAGCACGATCTCTGCCCTAAAGCAGCATATTGCTTATCTAAGGAAATAAGCATTAAATGATACTCAAGTTAGTATATAATGGTAATTGTGCTATAAGCTTTAAACAAAAAGCTCCAGGATGTTAAGACGGCGATTCTCAAAGCATAGGGTGTGGTCAAGCCAGTGAAAGAGACCCTTACAGAAAAAATCAGATGGAAGGGAGGAGTGACAGATGAGCAGGAGAGAGACAAGTGAGAACATGGGTGGCCAGAGATGAGTGGGTCCAGCCTAAGCAGATGGGAACTGTCATGGGGAAAAGCAGACAGACCTGGATGTTAAAATATCAGTCAAGTAAGAGATGAAGGCCATCTTGGACATATAGCTAGAGATGGAGTTGGGCACGATCACCTCCCAAAGTTTGAGGGCTCCAAGCTTGGAACTTTCCTCTTTGGAATTTGTGTGTGTATGTTCTATAGAAATGTGCAGTATTCAATTATATCAACAAATCTTAAGCATACACTATCTGCTTTGCAGTGTTCCTGGAGCTCAGGAAACGGCAGTGAATATGGCAGACAGGATCCTTCTCATGAAACTTACAATCTGGTATCAAGCATTTAGCTGCAATCATTTGACACTGCCCTTGGATACTGCACATATTTTCATTTAGTTCCATGAACTAAGTTAGACACAAGAATTTTTTTTCATGGAATTATAAAGATAAAAGTTCTAGTTACACTTGACACTATGCCCCTGGTAATGTAATTGGGTAGATGTTAGCCTATATGTGTTAGAGGAGCCAAAGAAAATGATAATTTTTTAAAAAATAAATGTATATACAACAGAACGAGGACATAAGCCCTAAAAGCAAATCAGCAATTGCACCTAAAGTAACTGCTCTTGCTCAATAATAGTGTTCCATGGGTTTCACTGAGCTTACCGGGGGTAGCTCAAGGGAATCCTCCCTGCCCTGCACTGAAGAGGCTCTCAGGTCCCACAACACTGTGCTAATGAAGTCTGGGGAGGATCTTCAGGAACTCCACATCCCAAAGCCCCCACCTACAAGTTTCCAGAAGAGGGAAAAGTGGAAGAGAACAGGGGACTTTTATTTCTGTATGTAAGACCTTCTGTCTGAATGCACACTGGCTTCAATCCTTCCTTGAGCTTCCTGGCTGGAATAACAGGTAGACTTCTCTTAATTAAACCTTGCTTCCTTGCTTAACACTATCCTCTGTCTCATATCTGTTCTTTTACCATGTCTGTTCATAATACCATGAACTTCTCCAAAAGAAATAGATTTTTCTTTTTTCTCCAAGCATGGTT